AAGTAGAGCATTGTTACTGGATAGTCTGTCGGTGTGTACACTTTGAGCAGAGCACGTGCCATTGTACAGTCTTAGAAGGCGCCCATTAAGTATTTTTTAGAACATAAGAACTTCCTTCACAATGTGGCCAACATTTCCAGCCCAATTTTCTTAGCTACAGCCCACCAATTTGATTCCCAATGCCTGCCTGAGCTTGTTGCTCATTTCCATTCTTGGGGAAAGGCAGATGTGAACCTGAACTGTTCTTTTCCTTTTGACACTTGATTGCTCTCGATTGCCCATTCGAAGCCTCCCCTGAACAATGGAAGGGGTTCACACTGTTAACGGGCGGCCGTAATGGGCAGAGGTCGTCCCACTACAGCACGTCGAGCGATTTAAATTCACCGTGGACCTCAGGACGCTGAACACGACCCACGGAGCTGTGGGGACACCTCTCACTCTCTGCACGGGGAAAGAACATTTGGGGTTGAGGGGAGGAAAGAGGAGAAAACAGACAGGGAACAAGGTGGGATGGGGTTAGGGGGAAATGGGCGAATGGTGGCAAAACTGGAATGAACCGCCTGCCAAGCTGCCAAGGTTTCAAGGCAGCCGCACGAGGACAGGCTTTTTGGGGAGGTGCACAGCAACCGAAGAGGAACACAGGCAGACAAAGCAGCAACAAATTACTTCACAGCACGCACGTGCACAAATGCAAACACACACCAGCAAAAAAAAAGTCACCGATTTTCAGAAGCAGCTACTCATTCACCTTTGGGTCACACATCACCTCTCCAACACTCTGCAAAGCAAACACAATTTTCTCGCTCCAGCATCACCTTTATGGGCCTGCCTGGAGGATTCGGACTTCAGAAACCGCTTTTATTTATTTAAAAAAAAAAGTTTATATAAAGAAAATATATACATATATATTCACAACACACCATTTGTGAATCCCAGATATTCTCTCTCAAGCACAGCTCCAGTTCGGGACCTACGCACCTCCCAGGACACATGGGCAGCACCCCCTCCCCCCACGGTTTCCCCCAGTCCTGCTCTCCAACAAGTGAGGGGCAGGGATTCTCCGAGGACCTTCACAATTGCTCCTTCTTCACCCCACCACTCTTCAGCCAAGCAAAGGGGCAAACCCTCTCTGATTCTGTTGCGCTCCCCCCCACCCCGCCACCACTGGCTTTCAGCTTCTTCTCAGGGCCACCTCCCCAACCCCCAACCCTGTACAATGTCACCTGCGTTCCCTGCTCAAAACTCAAAGGGAAAGTAACACGGCTGCAACTCGAGGTGGGTCCAGTCTGCGAAAGAGAGAAGACAGCTCGATGTTTCGGGCAGGGCAGGGAAGCCCTTTATCACAACCTGTGAATCTTGTCTCACTGCAGACTCTGACTGGCTTGCTGCCGCTGTTTTTCCACGATACAGGAGTGGGAAATGTAAGGCTGCCAATCACTGACCATTTGTCCGTGCACCCCAATCCCACCCTCGTGATCACTGATTTGATTTGAATTATTAATTTCACCCGCTGATCAATTAAGACTTTTTTTTTTTAAAAAAAAACACAAATGCAGTCTTTGGGCAGAGTTATCCACAAGAGGACTGCAGCAAGCTTGTCACAGGAATAGGACACCACAACTCTCCCACGAGGAAACACATTCGGTGCATTACTTTTAGTCCTCGCATGTTGCCTTAAGGATGCACTGAAAATTTTCACATTTTTATTTCAGGAAAGGAGTTTTAAGGCTTTGGTGACCAGACCTGAAAAGTTGGCGGATCAATGGCTCTGGGACCTGCTGGCCATGTTTTAACATCTGGTGAAAGGAAACACAGGAGGCTCTCGAAACTGGAAGGCCCATGCAGTGCAGCCAGGGTCTTGAGGGACTGTGGACTAAACAGCGGGTGCCCAAGCATGCTTTGGGCTGGGGGCTGAGCCTATCTTACCGATGATCGTGCTGCTCACGGTCTCCACATCTCTTTCCAGCAACTCGTCGATAAGGTCCTCAAGTTCGTTCTCAACCTGGAAACACAATGACAGGCACCTCAGGAAGAAACAGGCTTTTGCATGGCCCAGTAAAATGCTCAACACCCTATGACAAATGTACCAAGGTTATTTCATAGACTTGGGGGAAGCGGCAGGGGAGAATCCCCAGTGGATTCACACCCTCTATCATTTCTGGCTCGATATGGACTTGCAGTACAATATCTCCGTTGGTGGCAGGTTAGCCAACCAGGACTCTTGCTTCTTCAGACCCGATGGAGAAAGGAGTGGCAAGAGGAGATTCGATAGAGGCATTCAAAATTATTGAGGCGGTTCTGTGCAGAGTAGACAGATCGGGTAAATCTGAGCCCACCTGTGGAAGGATTGAGAACCAGCAGGACACAAGCTTGAGGCGTTCGATAAAGGAAGCAAGGGCAATAAAAGGAGGATCTGGAATGTGCTGCCTGAGAATATGGCTATCAAAAGGGGAATTGGATCATTATCAAAGGAGAACATGCAGGGCTATGCAGGTGACTGACACCAGGCATGATGGGATAAATGGTCCTTCTGCACTAGGAAGGTGGAATGAAACAGCAAAGGTGCTTCTTGGGTGATCTCTCTGACTACTTTCCAGGGGGATTTAAAATGAGAACTAGTGATCTTCTGACAGTGCTCTCTGCATTTTGGTTTAAAAGCACTATTTCAGCTTCTCTGGTGTGTTACAAGATAGATAGCGTCATACCACGATCCCTACCCTACATAGGACTAATTTGAACTTCCAGCCCGGAAACAGGCTGTGATTGCTCACCTCAGTCCTCTTCACTACACCGCAGCAGTATAGCCTTCTATTCATTTCACCCACACACATTTTCCTTATAATTTTGTTGCAGAGAGAGGCCAGTCAGCACATTGTTTATTCTGAGATGCAGTGCACACCCAGTGTCACAAAGCACAGACACAGGCCCTTCCATCCAACCAGTTCATGCTGAGCATAATCCCAAACTAAACTGGTCCCACCTGCCTGCTCCTGGCCCATATCCACCCCCCCCCACAAACCTTTCCTATTCACGTACTTATCCAAATTAAATGCCATAACTGTGCCCACATCCACCACTTCCTCAGGAAGTTCATCCCACACGCAAACCACCCTGTGTAAAAAAGTGGCCCCTTTTTTGTTAAGAGGTAGTAGGAACTGCAGATGCTGGAGAATCTGAGATAACAAGGCGTAGAGCTGGATGAACACAGCAGGCCAAGCAGCATCAGAGGAGCAGGAAAGCTGACATTTCAGGCCTAGACCCTTCTTCAGAAATTTTTTTGTTAATATCTCTCTCCTTCACCTTAAAAATTCGCCACCCCAGGCTTGAAATGCCCCATGCTAGGGAAAAGACACGTACCATTAACTATCTCTACTCCTTGTGATTGCAGAGCCTAACTAGTGGTTGCGTGAAAAAAAACTTCTCCTTGCATCACATTTGCTTTCTTTGTAAATTACTTTCAACTTGGCACTCTCTCGTTCTCAATCCTTTTACGAGCAGGAACAGGTCCTCCCGATTCATTCGGCCCAGGCCCCTTATGATTTTGAGAACTTCCATCACATCACCATTAAGACTGCTCCATTCCAATCCACCCTCATTACTGAAGTTTTGACTGAACTGGCCTGAACGATTTGGGCCCCTTATCTGCAGGAAGATAGACTGGCATCACAGAAGGTTCATTTAACTGATCCTGGGAATGGAGGGAATGTCTTATGAGGACAGGTTGAGTTAGTTGGGCCTATTTTCGGAGTTGAGAAGAACAAGAGGTGAGCTTATTGAAATATACAAGGGAACTTGACAGGGTATATGCGGAGGGATAGATTGCCCCTTGAGTGTGTCTAGGACTGTAGGGTATAATCTTAGAATCAGCAGTCACACACTGTAGACAGAGATGAGGAGGAATTCTCTCTCTCGGCGGGGTAGTGCATATGTGGGATTCTTTACTGCAAAGGGTTGTCAGGCCATAATCAGCCATGATCTTACTGAATGGAGGGTCAGACTCATTGGGCTGAATGGCCTATTTCAGCTCGTGTCCTATGGTCTCCTCAGGCCTAGAACCACTCTCCTAAACCTCTTCTGTTTCTCATCCTTCCTAAAGTTCGGGGCCCAGAATTGTACACAATACCCCAGCTGAGGCCTCGCTAGTATCTCAGCATAATCTCCTTGCTCTTGCACTCCATGCCCCTATGACCTGATAAGAGAGGTCTACAAAATTATGAGAGGCATAGATAGTGTGGATAGTCAGAGGCTTTTTCAGAGAGGTTGGTGGGTGCCTGGACTGCACTGCCAATGGAGGTGATGGAAGCAGGCACGTTAGCAACATTTAAGGCATACCTCGACTGACACATGACCAGGAGTCAACAGAAGGATAGAAACTGCGCATTGGAAATATGTAGCGGGTCTAAATAAGGATTAGGATTCGGCACAGGCTTGGTGGGCTGAAGGGCCTGCTTCTATACTACATCGAATTGTATTAATAGAGTCTAGGATACAGTTTGTGTTATTCCATTGGACCTGCGACTTTCAATGAATTATTCAATTTCCTCCAATGATTCCATGCCTCCTTGACATAGTGATGTGCAGAGTCTCACCACTCTGGGTAACAATATCCCTGTTCAATTATCCAATGGATACTTACACCAACTACCTATACTCTTAGACTTGCCCGCAAGTGGAAACATCCTCTCTTAACACATTGGATCAATACGACCATAACCTGAAAGGTTGATCAGAGGTCTCTTTACAGCCTGCTCAGATTTTCCTGATGGTTATAGCCTTTCAATCATGCTACTGTTTTGCTCTCTTTAACTAAGGGACAGGCTTGCATCAGAAGCAGAGAAGATGAAGTGCCTTAAGGAGGAAACGCTGAGCAGGTTGGCTCTTTACTTATTGGCGTTGAGAAGAACGAGAGGGTGATCTTACTGAAATACCTAAGAACTGGAGAGGCAGTTTGATATGGTAGGCGCTAGAATGAGGGGGCACAGTTTTAGAATCAGGGTCTCCCTTTGAACTTATACGTAGTTTTCGGCAAGTTGCATCACCAGTGAACAGAGTTGTTAAGAAGGCATTTAGCACGCTTGCCTTCATTGCTCAGACCACTGAGTAGAGGAGTTGGTATGTTACGTTGTGGTTGCACAGGACTTCAGTAAGGCCACTTATAGTTCCATGTCCAGTTCTGGTCACCCTATTATAGGAAGGTTACTATTAAATTGGAGAGGTTTCAGACAAGATTTATTAGGACGTTGCCAGGAATGGAGGGTTTGAGTTATATAGATTCGGCTAGGACTTCTTTCACTGGAGTGTAGAAGGCTTATAATGGTTTATAAAATCATGAGGGGCATAGATAAGGTGAATATCAAAAGTCTTTCCCTAGGGCAGGTGAGTCCAAAACTAGGGGCCATATTTTTAAATTGAGACGAGAAAGATTTAAGGAGGACCCGAGAGGCAACTATTCCTCAGAGGTTGATTCATATGTAGAATGAACTGCCAGATGCAGATACAGTTACAAGCTTTGAAAAAATTTGGATAGGTACACAAATAGGAAAGGTTTAGAGAGACATGGGCCAAAGGCAGGCAAGTGGGACTAGTTTAGTTTGGGAAACTTGGTCTGCATGGACCAAGTGCTGTATGACTCTCAGCAGGTGGTCAGTCTGAAATTCTCACTCTCCCAGAGAGCAGCAGAGGACCAGACCATTGAATATATTTAAGGCCAAGTTAGAGAGATTTCGATCGACATTATGGAGAGGGGGACAGACAACAAAATGGAGTTGAGGTCACAGTCAGATGAGACATGATTTTATCAAACAGCACAGTAGCTTCCAGGGGCCATATAGTCTCCTTCTGCTCCACTTCACATTGATCTATGTATATGCTTTCTGTACCTTCTCCAGTGGTTTTAGACACTTTTTGTATTGTGGAGACCTAAACTGTGCACTTGATCTAACCAAAGCTGCACCAGTTCAATTTAACATCCCTGTTGGTTGATGATATCCCTTGAGGAATAACCTCGTACGCCTATAAGAGGATGGAAGGTGATGGGTACCTGCATCTCCTGGGCATTTAGGACTTCCGTCTGCCCAGTGATCACCACCGTGTCTGCTTCAGTCTCTCCATCCATAATATCAGTGTCTGCCACACCAGTGGGGGCCTGGTCTCCCTGTGTCTCAGTCTCTCCAGTCTCTCCTGCGCAATTGACAAAAGATTATTTTTTTTTTATTTTTTTTTTAAAAAAAATCTGTTCAGTACCGGTGATCATGCGAGAAATCAGCACTAAATTACCCATCTTTAATGGTTCCATGTGGCCAAGATGACACGCCTATTAACACCGAGCGCATAGGACAGAATTAATTCTCTGCGCAGGACCTTCTGACTTTGCAGCCATTAATGTTAGAGGCATCAGGTGCCTGGGCCCTGAAGTTCAGGAATTCCTTCAGGATCTCTCTACCTCTCTCATTTGTTCTCATTCTGCTGGACTTCAGGTTGAAGGATTGCAAAAGGTGTGTACACTGTTGTATGACCGTTCTTCTTGAACAGTGTTTGCAGGCTTGGATTTTGCAGTGTTGAGGAAAGCCTGCTACAAAACAAGCTGCTCAACCAGTGCCTCCTCTTTGGCAAGCACCTTTGTATCAAGTTCAGGAAGAGCGACTGAAAGAACCTCTCAGCATCGTAATTTCTGAGCAAGCAGCATCTGACAAGACCCCAGTTACAACTGTTATTAATAACTACACTTTTCGAAAGACTTCAGAATATTCCAGGCCTTATTCTCCCTTTATCTTCAAGAGAAACTGCAATTGGCCAAAAAGTCTCTTTCATTTGGAACTGAATCTCTGTAGAGAGAAATCCCTACTTTACTTTCTGTGGATTAATTAGAGGGGCAAGCATTTATATTCTTGTATTACAAGTTACATCTGTTAACTAATTCTACACCTTCACTCAATGGGTTCTCTTGTATAATAAGCTGGTTATCATAACTTGGTTAATACTGCTTTCCGTTTCAGGTCGAATAGAGAGAAAGTATACGACTGGCCACATTCGCACTCAAGCGACAGCGCACTCCTCTGAGTCCAATCATAATCCCTTTAAGGCATAGTAAGAACGGCCGATGCTGGAGTCGGAGATAACACAGCATGGAGCTGGAGGAGCACAGCAGGCCAGGCAGCATCACAGGAGCAGAAAAGTTGACGTTTCGGGTCGGGACCCTTCTTCAGAAAAGAAGGGTCCTGATCCAAAACGTCAACTTTCCTGCTCCGCTCCTCCAGCTCCACACGGTGTTCTCAATCCCATTACGATGCTCCTCACACCTTCACACACCCACACCTTCAAGACTAGTTGCCTAATGCTTCATGTAACTCAATGCCAGATTTTGCTTGCTAATGCTCCTGTGAAACATCTTGGGAGATATTACCAGGTTGAAGGGCCAATAAGAATGCAATTCGTTGCGAAAACAACATTTACCAGAATCTGGCTGGTTGCCATTAGCATCACCGCTCGTGATGTGTGTATCCTGCTCGGATTTGTTCTTGCTCGAGGCGTTCTTGCTACTAAAGAGGCTGCTCGGTTGATTGACGATACGAGAAAGCGTCTCCAAAGGCTTCAGCGCAGCATTCACCGTGTTCGCCATGTTGGGACTTGGAATAAAGAAAAGAATCCACATTTGGAAATCTCTCCAAAGGGTCTCCCACACCTTTTAAGGACAGCACTGAAAAGCATATAGAGTATAAAAACAGGAGAGCAGACCTAAGCAGCCTGGGATGGTGCTGACACTTCCAAGTAAGCCTGGTCCACAGCCCCACCTTAATCTCATCAACTTCCCATCCTTTCTTGCCTCCTGTTTACCCAAACACACCAAGACTATTTACCTCAACTGGGTAACCAGTTCCACATTTACAGCTCTCTCCAGTGAAATAGATTTCTACTGTATTCCTGATTGAATTATTAGTGACAACCTTATGCAGACAGACCCTCAAGTTACAGTCATCTAAAAGTGAAAAGAACTTTGTTTGCCCCATCCAATCTGTTCATCACTTTAAGAGCCTTCGTCACGTTTACCGCACGTCGATTCTAAACTAGTGTAAAACAAATTTGTTCAGTCTTTGACTGGTATAAGTCACCCTTCATCTCTTCAAGCAAGCCCACAGCCGATCAGCAGAATCTGTTGATTAAGCAGACTGCTAACTGAACAATTTAATCTTACACCAACTGTTCCTTCCTTCAGTCCCAGCGAAGTTCCCACCTGAAACCTTCTAGAATGGAGCAAATTGTTCCAGAAGGATGAGTTGTCTAGTTGTTGCAGCAGTGGGCAATGTCCCAAGATCAGGTACCTTTCCCTAGTGATGAAGGCTTCCCCAACTGTATCCAACTCTTCCCAGGCAAACAGGTCAGACCTCTAATTCAAGAATCACGACTAACACTGTTAATAGTAAGTCTGATGGCACCTACAATTGTCTTACAAAGTAACAAAGCTGTTCTAGTGTAGAGGGAGCGTCACTCTATATCTAACCCTTGCTGACACTGTCCTGGGAATATTTGATGGGGTGACAGTGTAGAGAGCTTTACTCTGTACCTAACCCTGGTCCTGGATGGATAACAGGTATATCTTGTGCAGCAGTTCCCTCTTGAGCCTGGGACACAAAACCTCCCAACCCGTTAGTTCAAAAGGTGAGAATGCACAGACGAGTCTCAGCAACCATTCGGTATCGGGGAGCACCAACTGGGGCTGCAGATCTTCAACAAAACATGAAGACCCCCAGTCACAAGACTGGAGGAGAGAATGAGAAATTCTGCTACCTGGACAAGTCGAGACTGTGAGGCACTCTGGCCAAGTCGTTCACAAGCCCCTTCTTCAGGAACAGTCGGATGATGTTGTTCATGCCATTGTGTTGCGTTTTGACGGCATTGCTGCTGTAGAAGCTGGAGGTGGACGGGCATGACTCCATGATGGTGCTGATGATGCACATCACAGCTTGCAGCCTGTGGGGAAAGGCAGTGAGTGGAACAAGATTAGGGTGGTGGCCCAGTGACCCTACAGGCCACACAAAGAGCTACTGAATCCACGAGCCGTTACCTGGCGTGTTTCTCTGTGCTCTCCGCCATAGCCAGCGCTCGGCTAAGGGCCGCTTTGACCTCATTGACCAAGGCAGCTTGTGCTTCAGTGCTCTGCGTCGCTGCCGCCAGACTGGCCAGGAAGAGCCGGGCCAGTGCTGGTGTGTCTTTGTCTCCCACATTCTGGGTCTGGGGCAAAAGGTGATCCAGGACAAAAGCCAGGACGCTGCAATCCTGCAGAGAGACAGAGGCAGATACAGATAGAATTCGCACCCTGAGGTGAAGACAGAATAAACAGCTTCCCGGACATCACCACCACTGCCAAAGTTGCATGTCACCTCGACTCAGAGCCACAGAGATGTACAGCACGGAAACAGAGCCTTTGGTCCAAACGGTCCATGCTGACCAGATGTTCTACATTAACTTAGTCCCATTTCCCAGCATACCCCTTGGCCCATATCCCCCCAAACCCTTCCTATTCGGGTACCCATCCAGATGCCTTTTAAATACTGTAATTGTGCCAGCTTCCACCACTCTCTCTGGCAGCTCATTCCACACAACCATCCTTTGCATGAAGAAGCTGCTCCTCAGATCCCTTTTAAATCTTTCCCCCTCTTACCTTAAACCTATGCCATCTAGTTTTGGACTCCCCTACCCTGGGGAAAAAAAACTTCGCTATTTACCTTATCCATGCCCCTCATGATTTTATAAACCTCTATCAAGTCACCCCTCAGCCTCCAACACTCCAGGTCAAATAGCCCCCAGCCTATTCAGCTTCATCCTATAGCTTAAACCCTCTGAAACTGGCAATATCCTTGTAAACCTTTTCTGAACCCTTTGAAGTTTCACAACATCTTTCCTAAAGCAGGTGACTAGAAGTGAACTCCAGAAATAGCCTAACCAATGTCCTGTACAGCTGTAACATGCGTCCCAACTCCCATACTCAATGCACTGACAATAAAGGCAACTGTACCAAATGCCTTCTTCACTACGACTTGGAATGACATTGGTTGTCCCTTCACTACCACCAGTCCCAAAAACCCAGAACTCCATCTCGACCAGTGCTGCAGGTGCAGCTATACTACACCGAAATGCAGCCATTCAAGGTCACGGCTCCTCACCGCCTTCTCAAGGGGTGATTAGGAACTGGCAACAAACGCCAGCCTCGTAAGTGATGGCCACATCGTCTCCTAGTCAGAGTCATACAGTGTGGAAACAGACCCTTCGGTCCAACCACTCCATGCTGACCATAATCCCAAAATAAAATAATCCCACTTGCCTGTGCTTGGCACACCTTTCCTCTTCTGGTACTCATCTAAATGTCTTTTAAATGTAGTAATTGTACCCGCATCCACCACCTCCTCTGGAAGTTCATTCCACACACAAATCACAAAAAAAAAAAATTGTCCCTCATGGTGTTTTGAAATCCTTTTCTCCGCTCATCTCAAAAATGTGCCCCCTCGTCTTGAAATCCTCCACCCTCGGGAAAGGACACCTGGCAGTCACCCTATCCATGACCGCCCCCATGATTTTATAAACCTGTATAAAAGGTTACCTCTCAACCTCCTGTGCTCCAAAGAAAGGAGTCCCAGCCTTTCCAACCTCTCCTTATAACTCAAAATCTCCAACTCCCAGCAACATGATGGCAATTCTTTTTTGAACCCTCACCAGCTTTAATAATATGCTTTCCATAGAAGGGTGGCCAGAACTGGACACGGTACCCAGAAGAGAACTCACTAACGTCTTGTACAACCTCAACGTGACACGCCAGCTCCTATACTGAAAAAGGTCTGGGCAACGAGGGTAAGTGCGCTAAGCGTCTTCTTCACCACCCTCAGAAGGCAGGCAATTCAGCCCATTGAGTATATTCCCCCGTCACTCACAGAGATTAAATCTCAAAAGGAAAAATAAAAACAACACAATGTGGAAAACTGGGAATGACCAGAAGCTCCATTCTGACCACTGATCATTCAGGAAAGCCCAAACAGCAAGGGGTATGCTCCCCATTCAGCTGTCGGTAATGAGGTGTAATAACTCTCAATGAGGCATACCATCACGTTTTACAGACAGCATAAATTGCTTACAATTCAACACGCAGCCAAAGCATACAGCAGCCTGCCGCCTTGCGTACGTACATACGTATACAGGTGAATTAGGAACAGTAAGTCGCTCAGCCCCTTGAGATCATTCTGCCGTTCACCAAGATCATGACTAAACTTGTTGGCCCACATTCCTAACTACACACCCCCACCCCCTTGCTCAGCAAGAATCTATCCATCTCTGCTTGGAAATATTCACGCACCACTTTGAGGAAGTGACATCTAAAGTCTCTCGGTCCTGGGGGACACCATTCCTCCTCACTTGGGTCTTAAATGGGTGTCTCCTGGTTGTAGATTCCTCTACAACAGAAAACATCCTTTCCACACCCAACCTGTCAAGATTCCTCAGGGACTGGATGTGATTCACTCGCGGCACCTTACTCATAAACCTCAGCAGGTACAAGCCAATCCTGGCATAGAACATTACAGCACAGGAGCAGGCTCTTCAGCCCATTACATTGTGCTGAACATGACGCCAAATTAAACTAATCCCTTCTGCCTGTCCTTGGTCCATATCCCTTCATTCCTTGCATATTCATGTGCTTATCTATAAGCCCCTTAAACGCCCCTGTTGAATATGCCTCCACCACCACCACCACCACCCCTGGCACTGCATTCCACACTCCTACCACTGTGTAAAAGAAACTTGCCCCTCAGATGTCCTTTGAACTTTCCCCTTCTCACCTTAAATGTATGCCCCCTAACATTAGACATTTTATCTCTGGGGAAAGGATTCTGACCGTCAACCCTATCTCTGCATCTCATAATTTTGTAGACTTCTATCTAATCTCGTCTCAGCCGCCACTGCTCCAGAGAAAACAACCCGAGTATTTCCAGCCTCTCCTTATAGCTCATACCCTCTAATCTAGGCAATTTCTGGTAAACCTCTTCTATACCCTCTCCAAAGACTCCACATCCTTCCTGTGACGTGATGACCAGAACTGAATGCAAATCTTTAAGCATGGCCTAACCAAAATGTTATAAAGCTGCAACATGGCATCCTGACTCTTGTACTCAAATTCCCCGACCAATAAAGGCAAACATACCATATGCCTTCTTTACCACCCTGTCTACTTGTGTGGCCATAAGACAGCCTACCCGTTGTAGGTATTAGTCTGGTAAACCCACTCTGAATTACTTCGAACATATTCACAGCCTTATGGTACTGGGGGCTGTGGTTCTCACCTCTTTAATGAGCTCAGACTGGCCAGCTGTATAATTGTACCCAGCTATCAGGGTGGCAATGCCAATGTATGAGCGCACCAACTCGGCCAGCAGCCTCAGGATAGTGGATGTCGGCATGAGTGGTTTGCTGGCTTTTGCCTTCTGCTTCCCGTCCTCCGAGGCTTTGTCCCCATCCTTGTCCTTCTTGCCATCCCGGTTCTCCTCTGGGGTGGAACCTGAGCACAGAAAGGGGGTAGGCAGCTTAATGCAAGCAACACGGATAAACCTCGGCTTGAGCCTGCAGCCCCCAAGAAAAAACGCTAACAACTTGCACCCGTACACAGCTTGAGCGTAGACAGAAAACATTGGTCACGTGCAGCCAGGCCAAGGGAAAGAAGGAGTTTGAGTCAAAGGGGGAGTTATCAGACAAGGTAAATAAAAGCATCATTGAAGAGGGGGTCCTTCGAGGAGCAGACACAAAAAACAGGAGAGTTTGGGGTGGGAGAGAGAAACATTGAGCCCCAAGGCACACGAGGAGGGATTAATGATGGTCACAATCCTAGACACTGCCCGAGTACGGAAACTAATAGAAGAGGTTAAGCTGGAGAGGTGTATGTATCTGTGTACGTGTATGTGTGTGCGTGCGTGCACGTGTATGCATGTGCGTGTACATTATGTGTATGCGTGTGCGTGAGTACGCTTGCTTTGAGTTAGTGGGGGTCGTGGGGAGTGAAAAGGGAAAAGGAAGACCGAGAGGAGCACTTGGTAGAGAAAAGGGAGTTTTTGGCAGTAGTTTGGTGAGTTTGCGGGCACAGAGAGGGGTGTTTTCTACTCCTGGCCAAAAAAAAACTCAAAGGGAAGGACAGTCATGAAAAATGAACCATTTCACATGACAGCTGAGGGACATTAGACAGCAAGGGGCCTTGGGGAGGTGAAGAAGTCAGGTAGCATTGTGTGTCCATCAGCATGCATGTACAAACTGCACTGGTCAGACCACTACCTGGCTTAATCTAAACAAGTCCTAAATTTTAGTTCGCAATGAACTGGAACGCGCTCATTTTCAACTGTTAAAGCTTCTTTGCCCTCATCAGAACAGAACCAAGAAAGTCAAATTCCGAAGGAATGAACAATTTATAAATGCTCATTGCTGGGAATAAAAAGGCATGTGATGTCTCAGCTTTCCTCCGAATTGTTGGGACAGAATCATAACAGCAAAGGGAACAACAATTTAGATGAAAAGGGTGAGAAGAGCATGAGAAGAGGGTGTGATTGGCCAGCTGGCAACTAGACTCTGACTGGCAGAGACCACACCATGGAGAATGCATAGAAGGGTGCACAAAAAGGCCCATGTGCCCATTGTGTGCGGAGAACACATCCAGGCAACGTGCCAGTTTTACATTAAACAAAACCGTGGAGGGGTGACGATATTTCCTTGGAGAACGGCAACATCTCAAGCAGTCGGCACCCTCCTCTCATGCCCAAGGAATAGCTGTCGCCGCAGAAGTTTGGAACATTTAGCTTTGAGGTGGTGAACAATGTCAGGCATCGAAGCCATTAGCAATATTCTGACACCAAGCTGCTGAGTTGGAAAGGGAAATTCGGGAGACGCACCATGGAAAGGCTTGAAATGCAACAGCAGTCTCAACAATCTCAACACGCCCAAAGCCATTTCTGTTGTACTGTAGTCCCTGCTGCAATGCAGGAAACACAGCAGTCAATTAGACATCAGGAGGCTTACCCTCTCCTTGCGATGTGCCGGCCTGATTGGAATCGGTCGCTGCACCATCAGCAACAAAGACCTGGGTCTGCAAGATAAAACAGAGTTAACACAGACCACATCACTCAGGGATCAAAACCATCCCATCATTTACATTTTGCCTTATATAAGTTAGTTCCTGTGAAGCTTTGCACTGGAAAACCAATTGTATACAAGACTGAATTGAAAGCTTGTTTCCAATTACAATGAGCATCGATATATTTGAAATTACTCTTTCAGTTAAATCTTACAGCTATCGACAGACCTGGTCCCCACCCGTACTGCACCCCAGCGCTATACAGCGACAGGCCTGTCCCCCACCGGTACTGTATCCCAGTGTTACACAGCGACAGGCCTGGCCCCCACTGGTACTGCATCCCAGTGTTACACAGCGACAGGCCTGTTCCCACCGGTACTGTACCCCAGCATTATACAATGATAGACCTGTCCCCACCGGTATCGTACTCCAGCGTTATACACACCGCTCCACAGGCCCCACCTGGAGACAGACAATCCCGAACCTTCGGATACTCACGTTGATGGTGAAGCTCTGCTGCGAGTCGAAGTCACTGCCCTGCCGTGTCAGCGAGCGGTACTGCTGGTACATGTCATCTCCCACGTCCTGCAGCAACTGACTCAGCTCCTGGTTCACACTCACCAGCTTCACCTCAACCTTCTCAGCTACAGCCAGGGGGCAAGGAGATAGAGCAAAACAAGGTCAATAAATCCAAACCTGCCACGGTTTCAACTTCAATGTGCTTATCTGGTTCAATACCACCCCCCGAAGCTGCTGAATCATGCCTCAATACAGGAGTTGACCAAAGTTGGGCAGGCTTAGAACTCATGTGGGAGCTGCAGTGTAGCTGATAACTCCTGAGCCTGCAACCACCTCCCCCCCACAACCAGGAGAAGTGCAGTAGATGCCACTGAATATCTCACCCCCTGAGCCCAATTCAGAGGCATTCCATCATAGGTGCTGTCAAAATCTTACAGGAACAGGAGTAGGCCATTCAGCCCCTCGAGCCCATTCCATCATTCAAAGAGATCATGGCTGATCTGTTGCTCAAGTCCGCATTACTGCTTTTGACCCATACCCCTTAACATCTCTGCTTAACAAAATTTTAAATCAGGGAGAGAAATTTAACAACTGATCCAGCATCCACTGTTGTTCGTGGGAGAGAGAGTTCCAAACATTTTCTTGTAGAATTGCTTCTGAACATCTCTCCTGATGAGTCTGGTCCTAAATGTCAGACAATTCCCCCAAACCAGTTGGAGGAGTTTATCTTTATCTACTGTCTTTTCCTGCTCATGTCTTGCTTCTCCCTAACTAGCAGTATCTGTGGGAGCACCACTATGCACACTGACAGCAGTGGTCCAAAGTCGTGGTCACTATCAACTTCTCAAGAGCAAGTTGGGATAGATTCAAAGTGCTGGCTTTGCCAGCAATGGCCTCCTCCTATAAATGCAATGAAGGTTCATAATACATGGGTGTGATTTGGGAATTGGGATTCTAAAGTAGAGGAATATCGGTGTTTGGCTTTATATCACAAGAGATTAAAAGCAGGGCTGGGTGGGAGACAGCGTGACAAAGGAAGAGCCAGAAGCAAGTTCAGGGTGGCCAGAAACAAAAACAGACGTTGCTGGAGAAATTCAGGAGTTCTGGCAGCAGAAGACAGAGTGACTTGCTGGGCCATTTCTGTCAGGAGAGACAGAATCAGAGCTCATGCTTCAAGTCCAGGGGCTTTCCTTCAGAACTCCTTCCTCAGCTCATGGGACCTGAATCGTTAGCTGTTTCTCTCCCCACACAGATGCTGCCAGACCTGCCGAGTTCCTCCAGCGATTTCAGCTTTTGTTTCAGATCTTCAGCATCCGCGGTTTTATTTCAGATGGACAGAAGTGGGTTCAGTTCAGAAGAACAGGGGTGCTCAAGCAGCAGACCAGAACTAGATGGCAGTGCTTTCAAATTGGCATCATTCTTTTAGGACAGAGATATGAGAATTCTCTCACTCTCAGATGAGTGCGACTTTGGAACTCTGCCTCAGAAGGCTGCGGAGGCACGGTCATTAGATATTTTAAGGGAGAGGCAGATTGGTTCTCTTCCCTAGCAAGAACCTATGGTTACTGGGGGTGTGGTGGTGGTGGTGGTGGTGGTGGTGGTGGGGTGCAGTTGATGGGAATAGATGGGATCAGCCACAGTCTTATTGAATGGTGGAGCAGCTGCCTTTAAATTTGAATGCTTCGTTTTCGATGCTCAAGAGTGAGCAGGGCAAAAGCAAGAGTCAAGAGCCAAGAGCCAATACTCAAATCAAGAGGCTCACTGAGGATGACTAGACTGTACCAGTGTGGCAACAGAGGTTACACCAAGACCACTGCACCCACAGTTCAAAACTGTCCACAGCAACACCAATGACAGCTACCAGATCCTTCAACCAATTCTTCCTATTTATTAATGGCGTGTGGCCTTTTGTTCCCTCCAATTTCAGAGCACTGGACAAAGCCTTCACTGGGTCAGTTCTTGACGTGCTACCAGGAACCTCCTGTGCAACAGCGCGCCAGTGAAATTCACCTTCCTCCGAGCCATGGCATATTAGGACATACCGTCATCAGGAGCATGGTAGGCCGACAGTGCATTCAACATGTCGTAGATGACATCTTTGATGGTATCAGGAATAGTCGGGAGCGGGGATGGCTTCACAGGCGTCGTTTTGACCAGCTGCACTGCATTGGGGCCCTTGATGCGCAAGTTCTCAAACTCATCGTCAGAGGCTGAAGGGACAAAGAACAAAATTACTTTTTAGTTCAAGAACAGAAGGTGAAGTCTGGCGGTTAAACAGTATAATCAGGAAGGCAATGGCCTATTGGTATTATCGCTAGACAATTAATCCAGAAACTCGGCTAATGTTCTGGGGACGTGGGTTCGAATCCCAATGGTGGATTTTGAAATCAATAAAAAGTTTAAAATCTGGAATCAAAAATCCACTGATAGCCATTTTCAATTGTCAGGAAAAACCCATCTGGGGTCACTGAGGTCTTTCAAGGAAGGACCTCTACCGTCCTTAGCCAGCTTGGCCCACGTGCGATTCCAGACCCACAGCAAAGCAACTGGCTCTCAACTGCCCTCTGAAATGGCCCAGCAATTCACTCGGTTGTATCGACTGACTGCAATGGTTCAAGAAGGCAGCTCACCACCCATCACCTTCTCAAGGGCAACTAGGGACCAGCAATACATGCTGGCCAGCCGTCGACACTCATGTCCCGAGAATGATTTTAAAAAATATAAAAAATACCCGGGATCAAGTCCATTTCCCCACCCCATTTCACATGTTTTGATTTCCTGAGTGTTCAAAAATGTACAAACACACAGTTCTCCAGAACTAGGACTTTGCTGGGAATGGAGGGCATGAGATATTTAAAAAAATAGACTGGAAAGACTCGAAACATTAAGTCTCTCTCCACACAAATGCTGCCAGACCTGCTGCGATTCTCCAGCACTTCTGTTTTTATTTCAGATTACATGAACCCATGGTATTTTGCTTTAACAGAAATAAAATAAAACCCACCAGTCCCATTGCCACGGGGTGCAGGCAGGGCTATCCTGATACAGTTCTTTGCCACCTCTGTGAATATCTCGGGGTTCCTGCAAGCAGCCGGTCCCAGGACTCGCAGGATGTAGTTGATCTCTCTAGACCCCAGGCTCCCGGACACCACGCCAGAGGTTGTGCTGCCTGCCCCACTGGTAGCAGCCGAACGCACCACCTGAGAAATGGAGGAAAGAGTCACGATAAAAGAAAACTGCCACACTTTTTCAGTGATAACAACATGTAGAGCTGGATGAACACAGCAGGCCAAGCAGCAGAGGAGCAGGAAGGCTGACGTTTCGGGCCTAGACCCTTCTTCAGAAAATTTTCTGAAG